AACTGCAGAACTGCAGTCAGCTGAAGTAGCCTGCAGTGCTGCATTTAACCACTGCGCCACCTCGGCTCTTAAATAATATCAACAGAAAGATGGTACTCACAAATTAAGTGGATTTGCCATTCACTTAGTGGATACACATAGGGACTCAATCTAAAGAGAACAGTGGGAATATGAGCATGCATTTGCACATTTAGGGATATGAGAAACAGTCTGGTGTAGTGGTTAAGGCTCTAGGCTAGAACCCAGGATACTGTGTGTTCTAGTCCCACATTAGGCACAAAATCCGACTGGGTGACTCTGTCAGTCTTAGCTCATGATGTCAGACTCAAGTGACAAGCTATCATTCAAGCCCTGTATTTGTGGGGAGGGGGAGGGACTAGGAAGAAAAAGAAAAAAAAGTCCATACTTGGCATGTAGCTTCATTTTTCCTTTACCCAACACTGCTGTTAAATGATGGCTCATTTAACATTCCCAGAGGAAGCTCTTTCCAGAATTTCATCTGAATGATGGTCTACTACACAGCACAGCTTATGTCATGATGTTCAGTGGGAACATCATGATATAAGTGGAGCAGAAACCTGTTTCCAGGGGTGGGGCTCACAGGTGGGCTCCAATTTAGGAGGCAGAGTCAATGAGAATTAGTGCATGCTTGGTCAGAGGACTGATCCTGCTGCCTAGTATGACTTGCCTTTAAACAACAGGATGTGAGCCTCTCCCACCTGCTTCCCAAGGGAATAAACACAATCCCCTCCCGTTTAGCTCAAGGAAAGATGAAAACATGCTTAAAACACTCAATGCTACCAACCTGTTTTAAAATATAGCAAACACACACATATGTACCCATAAAACAAGCCAGCTTACACCATATACAGGGAAGGTTGTCTTGTATTCACAGGCATGAAGCACAAAATTATTGAAGCCCCTGGGAAATTAAGCAGCTGGAGATTTCTCTCCCATTAATCCAGAGGAGTTATTCCCAGGACCTATTTTCAAGTGACAGTTTGCAAACCTGGGAGTGGCATCAACTAGCAAGGAAGGAAGCCATGTTAACCCCTCCTCAATCAGTACCCAATCATAACAAAAGGCTACTATAGACTGGGAAGTAACAGAAGATCACAGAAAAGGATTAAAAACCCCAAAGGGGCAGAAAGGACCATTCCACATTAAACACTGCAGCTCAGGGCCTTTTCCTTTCAAAGTCTTCCAAAACTATGTAACACAGATTATTCGTGTGTGTACACGTCCAAACAAGGACCTTAATCAGCCTGCTGCATCTGTGAACCAAACTTACTTCACTATTCTCTCAGACCACTCCCTAAACTGCATGGGGGGGGGGGGAGAGAAGTGCAATCAAAACCCACAAGTACCTACAGCTTTGGCAAATGGCTCAAAAAGAACAGCACTGGAAGAGGAAAATCGGGGGATACAGAAAATATCGCCATCAGTATCCGTGGCTTCTAGAAGATGCAACCACTGGCACTCCTATTAATCAGCCGCCACCCGCCACCCGCCACCCCTCTCTGGCGCTGACAGGAAGTGTTTACAGAAAGCACAGTCACAATATAGCTGGGAACAGAGACAGGCAAGCAGGTGGTGGGTCAAACCCTCTCGTTTCCGAGCCCCCAAAACCCACCCGATTCTCCAGGGCAGCAAAAATTCCAAAGCCCTAGAAAAACGCCGAGCCGGTGAACTTCCTCGCGTCAAGATGTGCCGGTCCACAGCCTAATATTAGCGTCTGTGAGGAGGAGGAGGCGGCGGCTGCTAGACCGGGAAATCGTGGGGAGGGGGGGGGAACCGGAGAGCGTGTTGTCACACACCATCCTTGGACACGCCTCGCCCCATTGCACAGCGTTCCACCCAGGGCTTTAAGCCGTAGCGCCGTCCCTTAACGTCCCTCGACTGACAATCGGACACACCCCATAATAGCTTGTCTTCTCGCACACGAGGCTGTTCCCCCTGACAGACGCAATCGCCCTGCCTTCCCTTCTCGTACGCCGACGACCGCCTCCCACGCTGCTTTTGGCCGAAGGAAGCGCCACCTCCCCAACCGATCCCCCTCCGAGTCTCTCCTACTTAGAAATGAGGGTGGCGAGGATGATGCTGATCTAACCTAAGGAGGGGGAGGCTGGCCTTTACACCCCTACTTCGGAGATTAGGGATACAACCGAAGCGACTTCAGCCAAGATCCAGGGAAAGAGATGTTCTATAGCGCGCAACCCGCCTTTTTCTTCCCCCATTTTGGCTCATAAAAGCCGAGCGCTGCAACTAACAGCTCCCTCTACACGGCTGCCCTGGGGCGCGACGTGTGAACCACTGCAGGATCCCTGGCTATTACAGCCCGCATCTTGAATATTCGGCTGAAAACTGAACCGAAGAACGCCCACAAATCCGCAGGCGCTCCGTGGCCGCCTTCCCGAGGGCTGCTAAGTAATTACTTACACAGGTGAGCCGAATCAACCTTCAAGGAGAACGTGCTTCTAACCCCCAAAACAGCATTTAAGAATTGGAGGAGGAAGCTCTACTTACTACTTATAGCCTGGGAGGTTTTCCTTGCAAACCAGAAAAGCAAAGCTGCCTTTTTTTCTTAGAGGTTTAAAAAAAAATTGGAAGCGTGCGAGGAAATGCAAAGTTTGAGTGGTGCCTGGCAGGAGAAAAGCGCCTTCGCGAGACTCCGCGTCCCCTTCCGCAGAAAGACCGGCTGCTCTCTTAGTCAAGGCTCCGTCGGTCCGATGCAGCGGCGAACTTTCCACCTAGGCGGCGGAGGAGCCCCGTGTTTGCAACGCCCTCCCCGCATTGGCACCCAACACTGAGGCACCCGTTCCGCCCGGGTGCTGCCGTGACGGCGGCTTGGACAATGTGTGCGCGCAAAACCAGCCCCAGGCAGCGGGCGGCACACGCCCAAACGCCGCTCGACGCCCACTCGACGCTCGCAACCTCCCTGAGCAGCTGATAGGCGCTCCCGCTCAACCTTCGGGCTCCAGGCCGCGGCTCCCCCACTCCTCCGACCTCGTGGTCGGCTGCGAGACACGTCAATCACTCCCAGAGCAACCTTCTCCCTCGGCCCCGCCCGCTGCTGTGTTGCTGTCGCTCCTCTGGCCTGGGCTTTCGGAGAGCGGCAAGGGGCCGGAGGAGGAGGGAGGGAGGAAATGGGTGTAGCGTGCTGGGAGAAGGGAATCGCCTCTCGCGTGGCTTATTTTTAGAGTCTGCTGCTTCCTCCAGGCAAATAAAGCCTCCTCCTCCTCTGCCGGGATGAGGAGATGCGCGCCCTCCCTTCCTCCCGAGGTAAATATGCCATCCAGGTTTAGTTCTCTTGTGAGCGAGGCCTCCCTCAGCAGCACTCCCCCCATTTCCTTCCTCTTTTTTTAGGACCCCTTTTTGTGCGTAGCTTGGTTGTGCCGCTGTGTTCGCTCTTCTGCTGCTCCTACTGTTGGGCCCTTTTTCTCTGTTATCCTTTCCCTGCCTGCACAGAGAAATGCTGGCTGTGAAGTCGGTAGGATGTGGGGAATCCGCGCTAGCCTAGTTGGAAAAGGCGGAAGGGAGGATGAATAGGAAAGCGCACAAAGGAATGGCAGCTTTCCCCAACCAGGCGCTCTCCAGAACTGAAGTACAAATCCCATTATCCCCTCCTACGGTTGTGAGAGCCGCATGGGCAGGCACTAGAGTGTCGGTAGCCACGGTAGAAGATTGTGAATTGCAATCCTCCTTACTGGCGGGTTCTGTTAATTAGACTAGTAAGAAAACATTGCAAATAATGGTTCTTAAAAAGTTAAACGTTCTCCAAAGTGAGGGGCGTTGTTACATACATATAAACTTTTGACTTGAATTGGAATTAAATATCCAGTGTGGGATCAAATATATAATTGTAGAATTTGGGTTATTAGGGTAAATATTGGGGGAAGATTTTTTATGTTATTCTTATTTAAACTATTATTTAAAAATGGTATATACTCTGCATAACCTGAAGCAAAGTGTAAATTATCTGCTTTGCAGACTTTATCCTGACTAAAATGTAAGTGAGGAAACACAAACTTCCTGCTTTGAAATCAAATACTGTAAAAAACATTGCAAAGAATCAAACAAGATCAAAATACAATAGCTATAAACAAAATGTTCCTTTAAATCCAACATTTTTCTCTCAATTTTTTATTCATATAAAATATGAGTGCTTAGCATTGTGATATGCCCAAACAACCACAAAAATGTACATTTACTATATTTTTATATCACCGTACTCTACATAGACTTGTGCACAGTACAGTATACAGTACAGTAAAAACAAAGTAGTCATAAAATATCAAAAGTAAATATAGCAATACATTAACACCATCAATCCCTTTAATATTGTTATGTGATATAGCAGGGTTCCCAATGATTGATCTTAATTCTGAACAGCTTTATTTTGATGCCTTGCCTGCAATTCAGAAGTAATGCTGTCATCCAGTTTTCAGGTAGGAACCTATTCCATAAGGAAGAGATATTACAGAAAAATCTACATTACTTGCTCTCATCTAAATGTCTCACGTAGAAGGAACCCTTAGTATTCTTAGCAGGTAGTCCAAATGGGGTGAGTAGGATCCATTGGAAGCAGATAGTCCTGTGGGAGCGAAACAGTGTAGAGCTTTAGGTCAAACCCACCACTTTGAATGGTATCTGGTATTCCCTTTATATAATTTTTTCATTTTCATAACAACCATATGTATACTATTACATAACCAACATTGTATTATATTATTAGATGTTTACATCAATTCGCAGCCAATGCATCTTTTGAGTACCCTTCAAATTAGAAGTAATTAGTAATTAGAAGATGAAAATGTCAGTCAAGATTTCCAGGACTCCAGGAAAGTTCATAGCTGGCACACCATGCAATTCTAGGCCAGGTCCCCTAACAACAGTCTCCAACTGTTTTATCTAGCCATGAGTCTAGAAGGAACCCTAAGTCACAGACTGATTCCTTCATTGAGAGTGCTATCCCATCCAAAGTCACCATTGGAGTAAACTGAGGCCCAAATGGCTGGGAGGAGTGAATGAACAACAGCTTAGTCTTGCTGAGATTCAGCCTCAGTTTCTTTGTCTCTATAAAGATATTTACAGTCTTCAAACACTGGGTTAGAATTCCCAATGTATGTCTGGACTGGGATGGAGATGCAGTTCTGGGGTTCTGATTATACCATCACAAACTAATAGATGACTTCTCCCATCAGCTTGTATATTCATTAGCAGCAGAGAAGAACCTTGTGCCCTCCCATTTTGGAGTAATCAATGAGTTAGTTTCTCCTCCACACCTAGGGACTGAATCTGTCCATTCAGGAAGGAGCAAAACCACTGCAAACAGTGCCCGGACTCCCAATCTTAGGAACTAAGGCCAAATTTCAACCAAAAGTTTACTGGGTGGGGTCTTAAACCATAATGTAGTTTGTTTGATTTGGGCACTACAGCATAGTCTGTTCTGTACACCTAGTCATTTATAGTTTACCCAGTAAGTTATGGCTTAAAATAGCATGTAAGCAAAGTCATTCAGAGCTTAGTGGCAAGAGATGCTACAGAATATTCCATGAGCAACATTCAGAGGCAGTTCTTTTACATACACCATCTTGTTGCTCTCTAGTCTAACTTTGTCCTAACTCTATCTTGAGCAATCAGGCTGTCATATAGAAACTCTCCAGTGCCGTCTGAGAATGAAGTAAGCACATTCTAACAGCTCTAGTATTATATTAACTGAACAGAAACGAAAATGATCAGGACAGAAACAAAAAACAAGCTGCCCCAAAGCTGGTCTTTGGCTGATTTGCAGGCATCGCAGCAGCCCTGAGAAGGAGGAATAGATTAAAGAAAACGTTCCAGCTGATCTCATATTGCTGGGGCCTAAGCAGCATGCATATTTCAGAGCAGCAATCTGAGGCCACTCACTTTTAATGGGCCATAAGTGCATATATAGAAATCTAGTTGTTGTTTTTTCTTTAAAAAGTCAGAACTGTAGAATAATAGCTATAGCTTTCATCATCTTGCTATAAACCGTGCCTGCTAAGTCAGTGCATGTGTTCCCCAACATGCTAAACTACAGTAAGCAAACCGTGTGATGAATTAATACTATGTTTGGACCATAGTGCTCATTAAAGAAGCAGAATATCTAGTCGAAGGAGCACGTGGTTTTAGGCTAACAGCAAAGATCTTCACATGAAGAAATTTGTCAGTAAAACTTTTCTGGCAATTCTTTACAAGTTGTTTTAAATAGTTTAAAACTGTGCTATTTCTGGGATCAAACTTGATCATTTTGGGATGTGTGTTAGTGAAAAGTAAAGTGCTTCCTTTTATCCCCTAAGAATATGACACAAGCACTTTGCTACAGCAACCTGGCCCATGAAATAGAATAATGTTGATCATGAGATATTGGTTGCTATGGTGAGTAAAACTGAGATTTGTGGCTTTGCATTATTTAGAAGACGGGTTCTTGTCAATAAGAGCCTTTACAAGGATATACCTGAGATAAGGGTAAAGCTAAAAGTCCCATCACTAATAAAAATAAAGTACATAAAAGTTATGTATTATACAAAATTAATCAGATTCAGATGAATGATTCATAATCTGTCTCCCATAAAGAACTGAAACTGAATTGGGAATTATTTATTCTTCCCTCAACTGATAAAACATTCATTGCACCTACCAAATATGCATTAGACTTGATAAATCTATTTATCTTGCCTTTGGTAACCAAGAAAAAAAGAGGAACCACATTGTATATCTGCTGGAATGCATTTGGTTATGTATATAATATTTCTGATATTCAGGTTTAGCTTCTTTTGAAGCTTTTTGTTGCTTACTTTATCCTGCTGTAAAATGTTCACATGACTTAAATCCTTAATATCTAGAACAGGTTTTGCATGTAGCCACTTGCAAAGAATTAAACATTTGATATTACATATTAGCTGTGACCCATATGAACCATATAAACCATGTTTTGAGATTTTGAATATCCAAATTCCTGCGTGTGAAAATGACTTTTTCAATTCAGCTGATGATCAGATCACTGTCTTTAATTTAAAAAAACGTGTTAAGACACTCATCTGATGATGATGAGGCCCTGTGATTTAGCAGCAATTGTTACTATTTTTTTTTTAAAGAAAACAGAACATTGTTTTCCAGCAATAAAATGTTGAATCATCCCTACTGGCAGAAAGGATTGTGGAGCTGCTAATGGCATTGCACATGGGTATGTCTAGTTTAATGAAAAGAAGGGCTAGGGGAGACATGATAACAGTGTTCCAATATCTCAGGGGTTGCCACAAAGAAGAGGGAGTCATACTATTCTCCAAGGCACCTGAGGGTAGAACAAGAAGCAATGTGTGGAAACTAATCAAGGAGAGAAGCAACTTAGAACTGAGGAGAAATTTCCTGAGAGTTAGAACAATTAATCAGTGGAACAGCTTGCCTCCAGAAGTTGTGAATGCCCCAACACTGCAAGTCTTTAAGAAGATGTTGGATAGCCATTTGTCTGGAACGGTATAGGGTTTCCTGCCTAGGCAGGGGGTTGGACTAGAAGACCTCCAGCTCCAAGGTCCCTTCCAACTCTGCTATTGTATTGTATTGTAAGAACAATGAACTGAATTATGCTGCTACTGTATAAAGAAAGGACTGATTTGAATATAACCATACAAAAATGTATAAAGTTTCTGACTTGGTATCCACATGTACTGGAATGGAATTTCGAGTTTCACATAGTATATGAAATAAATATTGGACCTGCTCCTGTGATGCTATGTGAGAAAGACCTTGGGAGATTGGGATGCTGCCAAGGGAACAGTCAGATAAGTGATAGCAAAATCCATTGCTGAACAGTGGGCGGGGCAAGAGTC